TAGTCCAGTGTATAAAACTTATAACTTTGTTAACTGTTATAACTTTAACAAAAATGACCAAATCAGTATAATTTTTTTTTTATTTAGATGCATGTCTTTACTTATCATTTGTTTTTTTTATAAATCTAACTCTTTACCTGCCCACAAGTGGGATTCAAAATTATAACTTTCTTTTTTTTTAGCTAAAGTAAATCATTAAAATTAATTCAGTTCTGGATATTTCAATTGTAGAATCTTTTTAAATACTAAAAATTACTTAGAAATGATTACTATGATTTCTATTTAGGTGTTCTATTACGATAAAAATACAAAAAAATAATGAGTTTTTCTGATAAATATACTGTAAATAGTAATTATAAAATTTCCTGACTGCATATTAGTCTTAAAAATAGCATAGTTTTAATTCTCATAAAATTTTCTATTTAATGATTCATTCTAGTCAACGAAGGATTAATTTTGGAGAATAGCAGAAAAAATTCTCAACCAATTTTTTTTTCTTTGTTTTAATTAGGCAATTGGTGGATTATTCTAAAAGCAACATCAACTCTTATTTCTTTAATTATATCCTGATTAGTAGTTCTTTGATTTTAAAATATAATATATGAATAAATACTAATTATAATTATTAAATTTAGTATGAAATTGATATTCAATAATTTAATATTGTAATTTAAACGGAGAAATTATAAAAATAATAAAGAAGTTGTATTTTGCTTTATTTTTACGTGTATAAAAATTTAAAGGGCTTAATACAATAATTTTCAATAAAAACTGTTTGTTACTATAAATGAATGCACTGTACTTCAAGGAACTTTCATCAGAAACAAAAATATACTTTTTTAAATCAAAGTTTCGCGTTGTTTTCAAATCTGCAATTAGACTTTATCTATCAGTTCTTTATTTTTTTTATATTATTACTAATTACATATAAAAATAATTAAAAGAAAAAAAGAATTGTTTTCAATTTATTACTGATTTGATTTTTAATATGTTAAAAATGATCAATCCAAATTTTCATTTTTAACCTATTTTTTTGGTTCTTTAAAATTTATGAACAATTTTTGATAAAGATTTATGAAAGTTTATAGCAAAAAAAATTGAATATATTACCATAACTTTTAGCTCAATTACAAATTTAAAATTGACATCTAGGCCAGTCAACAAAGGAAAAATTTCTTAAAAAATTCCCAACCAAATTTTGTTTTATTAATAGTTGAATTAAAATATGTATAATGACATACTAATAGTCTTCATTGATTGAAATTGAGCTTTTTTTTACAGCCTCGCAAAAGTTCAAAAATATGAGCTTTTTTAATTTTCTCAAAAAATATTTAACTTACAAAAAAAAGTTTCGTACAAAAGTTGTTTAAAAGACAATTATAAACAAAAAAATTATCTTATATTTTTTCATTTAAACAAACATTTTTCGAGTTACATTACATTTAATGTGAGTACTAAAATTTATATTCCATTTTTTTCATATTACGGTTGCTTTTTATAGATCATAGCTGGCCTCACAATTTCATACTGAATTTAAAAACTATAATTAGTTTTTATAATTAGTTAGTATTTATTCATATATTATATTTTAAAATCAAAGAACTGCTAATCAGGATATAATTAAAGAAATAAGAGTTGATGTTCCTTTTGGAATAATCCACCAATTTCTCTAAATGAAACACTATCTACAGATTTGCATCGAAGCGTTTCTTATGATAGTGATTTTAATCACTGTCAGATATCATCTATACTTATCTCATCTATGCCACGTCTATACTGTGCCTCGACCCCACTGTGCTACCGTTTTTTTTTATTGCATCATCTGATTTAGTCGATCGGCATTGTGTACTCTATAGAGCATGACATTTAAAAGTACATCTTAATTGTTTCTTAAAATTGGCATTCAATAAATTCTAAAAAGTTAAACATATTATCTAATCAAAATAAACACAAATTTATAAATTTGTTTCAATAACAGTAAAAATTAGTACCATAGTTTAAATTAAATTCAATATGTGCTGCATATCTAAGATGTCTTAGTAAAATAAAAAATTAATATTTAATGCTTCAATTTCATAATTTTCATCTTAATAGTAATTTTATGGATTATTATTTTCTTAATCAAAAGTATGTCCAGAATCCTTTAAACATAAAAGTAAAAATAATAAAAATTTTTGTTATAAGTCCCATAAAATTTAAGTTTTTCCTTTTATATAAATATATTATAATAAAAAAAATTTGATCCATTGTCTATAGTTAATAAATAAATTTTACAACTGTATCACTTGAAATCTACTTTGAAATATTTGTTTTGCTAATCATTTATAAATAGATACTTTTTGCTTCCTCAATTTATTTCTTTGTTTCAGGACCTATTCCACACTTTTTATTTTTGTATAACTATATCAACTTCGATATTTTGTAGAACATTGACAAAAGTATATTTCTACTGTTCTCATTGTTTATAATAACTGACCCCTTTCTTTATTTACTAAACACTCTGTATAAGAATAGCTGGCGATGATAAAAAAAATCATTATATTTTTATTAAAAAGACTCATATTTGTTATTATTTTTATATGCGATAGTCACAATGCAGGAAAGAAAATATCTTGAATGTAATTGTCGGTTATATAATCACAAAATGGTACAGTTTTATCGATATAAAGTATACAAGCAGGGTCGCATTTAGGAATTTTGCCGCCCGGTGATCTTAATTTTGCCGCCCCCCAAAAAGTGTTGGATTGGGTTTTTTAGTTGGCGTATTTAATAATTCCGAATATTCAATTAATTGATTTTCATTTGCCATGGTTTCAAAAGTACTATGTAGAGGATGTTCACTAAAAAATTATAAAATTGTTTATTTATAAAAAACTGAATTAACGCAGATGAGATAACATATGCTTCAAGCATTCTTTTTGATTTGTACGCCTTACCTTGGTGCAATAGAAGACGTATTTATTAATTGTTTTTCCGAATTTTCAATTATTTGATTTTCATTTGCTAGGGCTTCAAGAGGACTCTGAAGATTAGGCTCACTAAACAAAATATAAAATTTTTCATTTATATAAAACTGAAATAACGTACAAAAGTTAACATTTGATTTTTAAATTACTTTTTATCACTAGACTCATTTGAAATCTATTCAGCTGTAGTCTCTATTTTACTTGGCGAATTGAAGATTGATGGTCGTTGATTGTCAAAAAATGAAGTTAATTTTGCGGTTTGAGAAATGACTTTTTGTTCTTTTTCTAATTTTAATTTAGCAACTTTTTTATAAG